CATAACTGGAGTGAGAGAGATGAGATGGATTCATACATTTCCCCAGAGAATTATTGAAAAGTAAAATTGATTCAGCCAGAATTCAAACTGCTGACACAACTAATTTACCATGCTGTTAATCATTAGACCACTGACAGAATACCAATAATGGTAAAAATCCTTGTGAATTTATAATTATAGTTACATAAACATTTCATAAAAAAAAAATAAATAAATAAAAAATTGCAGTTGGTTAGGGTAAAGAATACACTAACTACGTCTCTATGTCAAAAGTCCCTACAAAATGGAGCAACTGGTCTGATTTATCTACATCAATCTTTTTGGCTCCTTCAAAACAGGCTTATGTCTACCTATATATCAAAATGACAGAATTCAGTATTAACATTTAGAACACTTGTAAATATTACTTCCCCTTTACACTGTATATGGAATCCCCTCAAAATATAGTGTTTTATATATTAGTTCTATATATTTGAAACTGCAGTAGCCAGGCTCTCAATTTCAACCAAGATTGTTTTAGGTGTTGCCATAGAAGGATATGACTACACGACCAAGAAATTCAAATTCAACTTGCATTGGCATGACTAACATTTTGCTTGGTGAAAATAGTCACCTACAAAGTGCTTAAGGTTAAAAAATCTGGAAAATATTGATAGACTGTAAAAACAAAAAAGTGACAAGGCAAAGTTAAGTTTAATTAGATTTGATCAATTTTCAAATTGACACTCATCTTAAAATATATTTCTCTTTATGTACAACTTTTAGAGTAACTAATCAAAGTATACAGATGGATTAGCAAATCTTAGGCAAAGAGATTTCAAGCCAAATGCTATTAATATTACCAAAATAATTTTTGTTCATTCACATCACAAAGAATGACATTCCCTTTCTTGCACCAAGAGTAACATTCACTAAGTGTGGGCTATAACAAATTCTCCTGTGAGGGGAGCTAAAACGTCACTGAATCATAGCCTTCAAGTTAACATTTACCACCCTAATTTCTTTCTAGAACTGTCTCCCCTGCTATTGCATTTTTTTTGAGTGTGCAAAAACATGAACACCTACTGTTTTAAAATTGTTATAACTTTCTTTGTATTTTTTGTACAGATTTTATTTTTTGTCCACTAATGGATGAGTAATATTTTGATGTAATGCATTATATAATGCATTACATTTTGTATGCATGTTTTGATGATGAAAACAAAAAAAAAATTGAAATGCGAAATAAAAAACAAACACATTAAAAAAAACATACAAAAAACTCCTGAATAAATGCTTCATTTGATATTGACATGGCCATTTTTGTTTACAAAAAATCGCGAAGAAAATTAACATGGGTTTAATTAGTGTTACACCACATGTAAAGTATAGAAGAATTCAAAATGGGGTTTGGAAAACAGAAATTTAACCTTCTTCCAAAGCATTAGTAGGCGGTTTTCAGCTTAAAATACCAGAAATAACAGTTGAAAAGTGTTTATTTATAGAAACTGTCTCAAGGTGACAGAATATGCCTAGAGTAACAAAGGGAGATAATTCTACAGTGACAATTGTCGCCTGCAGCATGATAAAGATTAATATTTAGCAAAAATATGGAAAATGTGACACCAAAATCTGAAAGTACACTCAGTTAGCAAAAGATGACTTCCAAAAACTAAATCAAGTATAAAGAGAGAGGAAAATTTTGTTAGAAAAAGAAAATAGCACTGAACTGCTGTGTAATATCGATCTTCCTATATGTAAATGTTGGAGAATTTCTTTGCAAATGAAGAGGACACGTGAAGCAATAAGGATGTAGTCCTACAAAAGGATACTGAGAATAAAATAGATAATGTACAAGACATAAGGAAAAATAGAAACAAAACATTTATAGATGAAATTTCTGAGACATCTGAGGAAGGATGGCTTGGAGAATTTGGCATACACAAGACATACTGAAAATAAGAGGGGCAGGGGGGGGACATGTAGTAACTTACCCTAAATGGATAGCAATGTAAGGACTGAGCAATACAGTAAGTGGACAAACATTGATTAGGGCTATGAAAGATAGGAAATTGTGGAAAGCCATAATCTCCTATGTCCTAAAAAGATACAACACATATAATTGTAGGAAATAAATTAAATCTAACATTTTTAATTTATTTGTTTAAAATTTATTTTAAATGGATACTCATACTTGAGTACGTGCTTTGTTTTAATTTATTTATTAAACAGTATATTTATTTATTTGCATCTACCAGCCTGAATATTTGAGAAAATATGTTAGAAAAATATGTGCCCTTGGGCAGCATTCAAACCTGCGTCCTTTAGGGAAAGTGTTGTATCCTTAAAGAGGTTACAAACAGACAAAGGTGGTACTCGAGTGAAGGAACAGCAATATGTACATAGATGAAAGAAGAGAGGTTTATTGTAAAGAGAATACACTAGTGAAAGACAGGGAATCAGGTAGTAGGCTAGTAATTCCCGTAGCAAGCCCCAGGTATATCCTGTGCTCACTATATATATAGCTATTGATATAGTCAGTCCACATAAGCGATAGGGAGTGTGGGACATTCCATTACAGCAGAAAGCCATCATTAGATCTGACATGCCTTGACCTTTCACAGACACATAGAAAAATATGCCCTCTAGAGGTCCTAACAAGATTTTTCAAATATTCAGGCTAATAGATGTAAATAAATATACTGTTTAATAAGTAAATAAAAACAGAGCATCTGCTCAAATGAGTGTCCATTAAAAATTATGGTTTATATATATATATATATATATATATATATATATATATATATATATATGTGTGTGTGTGTGTGTGTATGACTGAATTTTTTTGAATACGCTTTATCAGTTCTCACAAATGCTCTGTTGCATGCTGATGTGAAGTGGAAAGATTATATTGAATCAATTGCTAGGTCTGCTACTAGGAAAGTTGGTTTTTGTCTGTCATGCTAGACAATTTTTCTTCCCGGAATCAATCTTGCATATTTATAAATCTATCATTTGTCCATGCTTTAAATATTGCTGCAACATCTGGTCTTGAGCCCCTGTTATATATTTAGAGATCCTTGATAAAATCCAAAGAAGAATCTGCAATGTTATTAGTCCTGACCTGGCCATCTACACTTCAGTCACCTTCCCACTGCCATAATGTAGCTTCCTTATACCGTTTTTTCTATACTTTCATGGTAATTGTTTCAATGAACTTTCTTCTATGGTACCTAGACTTTATGAATTTCAGAGTAGTACTAAATTTCTTCCATGACACTTTTTTGCCTGTGGAATCTCTTTGCCTTCCAGTGAATTTTGATCTTTAAGAATTTAAATGCAATGTCTTCTGTCTTTGTAATTCCTGTTCTTGCATTGTTCTATCTCCTTAATAACGTTTTTTTCTTTTTCTTACATTCTTTCACACTCAGTAACCTGCCATACCCCCCCAGGTCTGAGTGACCTTGAAGGAGGTGAAAGGATTTAAAAAAAAAAAAAAAATAAATAAATAACAACCATGCTTTCTAAATGATAAAATTTATTTACAAACCACAAGAACAGTATGTGAAGAATCTGTTTGTACACTAGTATAATACCCATAAAAAATGGCAGGCTTATTCATGTTTGGAATTTCCAGTATTTTCTGTGTCCATACAGAAGAAATAAAAGTTTGTCTAATAAATCCGACAGATTTAACGAGTTCTATAATTCACAGGCAATTTTCTTTTGCCAAAACATTGAGTGATATGAGATCTGCTAACTGCTTTCATAATGACAACTAATTACATAACTAATCAGCTATCCTCGCTCAATGCATTATCTAATACGCATCTGCAGGACTGCTATCTTGTGCCAATGTCTGGGCAGATGCTGCCAGTTGCAAATTCATGCAGGAAATGAAGAAATGTAAATAAAAATTTAAATTATTTTTGCAGACAGTAAAATAAAAGAAAAATATCTCTAGGGCACATAATGAGGAAAGAGGGCTTGGAAAATTCAATACTCACAGGACAGATTGAGGGACAGAGATAAACAACACAGGCAAAGTGAATGGATGGTGGAGCAGGGTTTAGGAGAGATAACAAAAAAAAAAAAAAAAATAAACATTTATTCAGCGCTACAAAGTATAAGAAATTGTGGAGAGCCTTGATCACCAATGTCCAGATGGGACAGACACGGCAAACCGAAGAAGAATAAGAAAAAGAAGCAAGACAACAGTTGGGATGGACAAATAGATGGATACCGATATTAAACAGTGCCATAATGATGACTTAGAAAAAATGGGGGTGGTGGCGATGAGAAAATGTTGAGACATAGTTTAAAAAGGCGCCCCATTCAAGAATAACAAAAATTTGTTTTTGTTTCTATTTTTCTCATTTTGTACATCCTTTCTAAAAGGAAAAAAAAAAATAAAATAAAAAAAAAAACAAACAAAAAAACACCAGTATATTTTTTGGCTTTTGTCTTAATTTCTTTTTTCAGTTCTAAACTCCTTTGCCAAATGGAATCAGTTTCTCCCTATCTCTGGCTTTGAACCATTTCAGGGCATTTCTAGGGACTCATCCTATTCCTCAAGACTCTCCACATTTAATTCCTTTTCTCTCTGTAAATATCATTCCACTTCTCCCTGTCCTCCCTCCTCTAAAATTTAATTCCAAAAGATGTCTCTGTAAATATTCTCCCCTCTCTAAATATCATTCCACTCTGTGAATCTCATTCAACATTTCACTTTCTCTCTCTCTGTATCATCCCACTCATCTCTCTTTCTCAATATTATTCAACTCATCTCTCTCTATAAATATCATTCAACTCCTCACACTCTCTAAGTATCATTTCATGCCTCTCTGAAAATTTAATTCAATCTCTTTAAAATATCATTCTACTTCTCCCTTTCAATAAAAATCAGTCCATCTCTCAATATATATATATATATATATATATATATATATATATATATATAGAGAGAGAGAGAGAGAGAGAGAGATTTTTGTGGCAGTTTGCCCTCCTCTCTATTTGAGCAAATGAAACAACCAAAAGCCTCTCCCAGCAACCTGCCATCCCCTGACATTAAAATCTTCAAGAAATTCCTTATTTCATGGGATCTCAGCCCTACTGGGCTTCATCTCCTAACCCAGGCATCAACCTTCTCACTTCCCTACTGTCATTTCTGTTCTACTGTCACAACAATCAGCATCATCATCACCATCATCACCACCACCACTGCAAAGGGTGGAGTCATGTCCATCACTCCTCCACCATCCACCACCTCCAGACTACCGCCACCCCCAACCCTGCTGCTTCTTCTAACCCTGACCCACACTGCTTGTTTTTGTCTGGTGCAGCAGACAGAGTATTGTCGACTTGCATGCCGTTGCGGCTGCCACAGTTGCTGCCGTAGTCGTCAAAGCTCCTGCCATTACTCTCCCACCCCACACCGTAACCCAACCCTGCATCCATCCCATCCCTGCCCTCGACCGCCAACTGCCGATCCTGATGTGACTGACATCGCTTATGTCACTAACACCTGCCTCTACCCTTGCCCTCAAGTTCAAGTGCCCTCCCACCACTAAGCACCACCTTCCCCTACGCCCACCCTAGCACGGTATCAGCAGCAGTGGCGACTACTGTCTGTATGCTGTGGGAGAGCGAGGGAAGGCTGTTAGTGGTGGTGGTATGACAGCACAAGTTGTGCATCACTGATTAACAGACAGATCGATAATCGGCACGCATGTGAGTGTATAGAAAAGATCTGCGTATGACGGAAGGACATTGGGAAGAGGGACAAGTATGCATGCATGGGAGAGACTGAGGGGGTGGAGGAGAGATTTGAAGGGTGGGGGAGTTGGCCTGCATGAGAAAGAGAAGGTAAGAAAGAGAACTTGTGTATGTGGTGGTGGTGGGGAACAGGAGAAAGAGGAAGGAAAACATTTGTAGACAGATAAAAGAAGATAAAAAGTTGCAAAGTGTATCATTTGTTATGTAAGCAATTGTGGAATAAGAGAATATGTAATGGAGAATGTCAATATGTACGTGTACCTGAAAGGAGGGGGTGGGATTTGGAGGTGGGCAAAGCTGGGAGAAGGGGGTAGTCGGAGAACTGTTGACCTTAGAAGACTGTAACAACAGGATGTTTGTGTCTGCTCAAGAAAATAGAATAAAGGAATGAAAGAATGAAAAAGAGATGGAAAGACACTTGCTGAATTATGGGGAGAAAGAAAAGAAAAAGATACAGTGTGTGTGTGTGTGTGTGTGTGTGTGTGTGTGTGTGAGTGAGTGAGAGAGAGAGAGAGAGAGAGAGAGAAACAGAGAATGAGAAAGAAAAAAGGGGATATGAAACCAGAGAGAGAGAGTGAGAAAGAAATACAGAATCTGAGACGGAATCAGAGGGAGAGGAAGATATGAGACGGAATCAGAGAGAGAGAGAGTAGTGGAGGAATCAGAGAGAGAGAGAGGAGGAAGAGGGAGAGACGGAATCAGAGAGAGAGAGAGAGGAAGGAGGGAGAGACGGAATCAGAGAGAGAGAGAGAGAGAAGAGGAGACGGAATCAGAGAGAGAGAGAGGAGGAAGGAAGAGGAGAGACGGAATCAGAGAGAGAGAGAGGAGGAAGAGGGGAGACGGGAACAGAGAGAGAGAGAGTGAGAAGAGGGAGACGGAATCAGAGAGAGAGAGAGTGAGGAAGAGGGAGAGACGGAATCAGAGAGAGAGAGAGAGAGAGAGGAAGAGGGAGAGACGGAATCAGAGAGAGAGAGAGTGAGGAAGAGGGAGAGACGGAATCAGAGAGAGAGAGAGAGTGAGGAAGAGGGAGAGACGGAATCAGAGAGAGAGAGAGTGAGGAAGAGGGAGAGACGGAATCAGAGTGAGAAGGTAGAGTTGGGATCAGTGGTACAGAGAGGTAGAGATGTAATCAAAGAGGAAGTGAGAGAGCAAGACAAAAAGAATGGTAGTGGAATTAGAGAATGAGAGAGAACATTTTCAGGAAGCACAAGGCAAATGCAAAAGGAGCAACAAAATCGAGAATACACCAAAGGAAATTATCATTTGTGTTGCTACTTTCAAACAATTATATCCTACCTTTTTGTCTAGTAGTGGCTGACTGTGGTAAAGCATTCGGCACGGATTTTCTTATTTCTAAGATTATATTGAAGGAGAAAGCAAATTAAATTGAATTTTGCCATTTGTACTATTGTTGGAAATGCGAGAAACAACAGCTACTTATTTACTTGGCTCAGCCAAGTTTATATCAGGGTCATGCCACTCCCCCACTTCATCAAGACAATATAACATTAATCATTTAATGGAGAGGGAGGGCTACAAGTTTGCAACCTAATCTGTATGGGAAAGAAGTTATGATGGCATGTATATTGGTAATAAATGAACATCTGTCAGAAAGAATGCCACAGGCTGTATGTGTTATATATATATATATATATATATATATTTGTGTGAGACAGAGAGAGAGAGAGAGTAAAAGAGGTAGAAGGGATGAAAGGTAGGGAGATGAAAGAGAGAGAGAGAGAGAGAGGCCAAAAGGAGACAGAGAGAGAGAGGGAGACCAAAAGGAGAGAGAGAGAGAGAGGGAGACCAAAAGGAGAGAGAGAGAGAGGGAGACCAAAAGGAGAGAGAGAGAGAGGGAGACCAAAAGGAGAGAGGGGGAGAGAGAGAGGCCAAAAGGAGAGAGAGAGAGGGCAGCCAAAAGGGGAGAGAGAGAGAGAGAGAGAGAGGCCGAAAGGAGAAGGAGAGAGAGGATGAAAGGCGAGAGAGGGAGAGAGAGGCCGAAAGGCGAGAGAGGGAGAGAGAGGACGAAAGGCGAGAGAGGGAGAGAGAGGACGAAAGGCGAGAGAGGGAGAACGAAAGGCGAGAGAGAGAGAGAGAGAGAACGAAAGGCGAGAGAGAGAGAGAACGAAAGGCGAGAGAGAGAGAGAGAGAGAGAACGAAAGGCGAGAGAGAGAGAGAGAGAACGAAAGGCGAGAGAGAGAGAACGAAAGGCTATTTCAGTTTAAATCTGGAACACCTCCAAGAATTAGTTTGCAGTAAGTTTTTTTTTTTAAAATTCAAAGAATATGCACCCCCCCTCCACAATTTATGGGTGTACCCACCAAAAAATCTACATGGCAGCTGATCTCTCCTTTGACCGAACTGACTTGTAGCATTCAATACTTCTAAAACCAAGCTAGTAATGTTTCATGATCACTGAGCAGACACTGAAATTGCAGTCATGATGAGTGCTTGTACTCACAATGAGGCTCCTTAAATGTCTGCTGGGACTCGATTCATTGTAGATCTCAAGTGGAACACACATATGTGATCCACTGGTGAAGATGCTGAACAAGTGGTCAGTTCCTTAAACCACTCCAGAATATATTGGACTCCTCATACCATGCTGTCTTTACAAAAGGACATGGCCATATCACGTTGAAACACTGGATCTTGTCAGACTTAAGCAACGTTAAGCCTGGTCAGTACCTAGATGGAAAACCACTTGGTTCGTTGATTTTGTTTAGTGCCATATCAACCTCTAAGAGTTATTTAAAGTGAAAATTTTAAATATTTTAAATGCAATTTTATGCCTTTGACCACAGATAAAATATATTGCTGATATTTTATACTAATAAAATGTATTTTATTCTTTCATAGTATTTTGCTTTTGATTGGGTATTCATTATTTGCCCATAGCTGGGACCCTAACAGGTGCTACCACCCCAGTTCAGAGTGGACCAACAGCAATTAAAACTTCCAATCTCCTGATCAGAGGCCTTGCTGCCAGATGTGTGGCCACTCAGGAATACCAGGTTTGGATGTGCAGGTGTAATGGATAGGTGCTTGGAATTGGATATCTGTGAGTAGAGTTCAAATTCCAGCTGGGTTTGTTATATTCACTTACATGTAAATATCCTTGGGAAAGGTAGGAATCCACCTCACCTCCTCCCAGCTATGGGTGAAATAGTAGGACTTGTACCAGAAAATCATTGTTTTCAACAAAATTCTTACAGGTTTTGGCTTTAAATAACCTTAAAAAGGTTAATAAGCTGTAAGAAAAACAAATCAATTTGAAGCGACAGATCAGACCGAAAAATGAAATATGGCCACTTCTCACTTTCCAACATTAACCGAATTCAAAAGTGTTCCTGCAACCTTGTGGGTGATGAAATATTTTCAACCTAACAACTTGCTAGTTTCTTATTACTATGGATACTTCTATCACAAATCTTCATGAAAGATACATTTTTAGTACCACCAATTTAGACCTTCACTGCTCGGACCACCAATGCTATATACACAGGATCAACTTATCCTCATTCCCTTCGTATTCCACTGGTAAGGAGGAAGTTCTACTCAGACGGCTTCTTCCCACAGAACTGTTACATTATGGAACAGTCTGCTGAGAGGATGTTTCCAATCATTACAATCTTAACCTCATTAAGTCTAGGATCATCCGACATGTCCTCATAATCTGCAATTCTTGAGTGACTCTTGTATTTTGTGAACAACAGTATAAAAGATTAAGCTGTAACTGAAATTACTAGGGTTCAATAAGTATTTTATTATGACAACATGCTATAAAAATGAATTCCTCTATTTTGTTTGTACTCTAAGTAAATTTTTAACAAACCAATGTGACTAAAGCCACAATAAAACCCTGATCAATGTTTCCAGCTAGTTTAGCCAGACACACAACACATGACACAATATCGCCATTCAACAAGCCAGTCAAGGAAATGCATAAACAGGGCTCCTGACTGGTAAAGAGCATCAATTGCTCCAAGTCCATCTGCTCAGTCCTAGGACCAACTAAGCTGATTTCACTCTGCCACTAACAAGATAAAAATAATCAGACAGCTGACAATTGTTAAAAACAGCTCTCTCTCTCTCTCTCTCACACACACACACACACACAGACAGACACATAGACAGATTACGCAAGATATTGAGCAATAGCGCCGATGTTACCGATAACAGTAATGACAACGGCAGCAGCAGCAGATTCCAGAGTAAACCAGACATAGAATTGCAGCACTGGCACTGTTCCAAATGAAGTAGTAGCAACAGTAGCAAGACTTGCAGGAGAGAAAAGCAAGTGAGACAATGGTTGGTGAATGTAGTAAACTGAGTGAGAAAGAAGGAATCAGGCTGGCCTTACATAATTCTAGCAGAGTTCCAAATGGTGAACTGGAACTGACTATATTTCAATGGCAGTCTGACTTTCTCCAGGCATTTCCAAATGTAGATTGGTAACAAATAAGATTTAAAAAAAAAGAAAAAGAAAAAGAAAAAAAGACAATATACTATAGATTCGTTTATTTAAGCTATACCCTTCAACAAGCAAAATTTAGGGCTTAAATCAAGTGGTACATTTATTTTTATGATGAAACTGAATAGGTATGAAAAAAGAAAAGAAAAGACCCTGCTACAAACATTTTTCAGCTCAAAATAAAATCTGATAGCACCTGTTGAGACACAAGATTTTGCCTTTTCTGTTTTCATTTCTTAAGATAGCATTCTAAATTAAAGATCAAATATTTATGCTTTCTTTGTTTTATAAATAAAACATTAATTGAAAACAGAACATGGGAAATAACTTGAACTGATTTTTGCCTGGCCTCACCTTATATCAAAGCCAAAAGCTAAAGTTCTTAAAAGACCTTTGGCTTTGATATTATGATTATTATTAGCTGTAGTTACTAAATACGCTACATCAGGAGTTCTAAAATGTTTTTGTTACTTTAATCCAAACTTATGTACTCATGCTGCTGGTTAATGAAAGTACAAAAAATAGATTCATCCCATTTAGGTATTAATGAAATGAAGTCACTATCCTAAATTCATTAACGTATTATGTTGTACATTATCTTTAATGGCATTGTAACAATTAGAAGTTGCAATGCTAATTAAATGTGAGTTAGCAATAAAACTAATGAAAAGGTGGATTTGCTTTCGGTAATTAATTTTTAAATGCCTATATTTTTATAACGAAGCAAGCCACAAGTCTTAGGTCATATGAAAACAAGCATGATGTGTTTTTCATTTGGTCAAAAAGCCTGCTTCATGTAAATATGTGGGTGGCAGCAGAATATTCAGAACCATTGGGAATTAGGGCAGGTCAGTTTTGGAACTGTGATACTGCACTTAATTTGAAAGGTAGCGTTTCACATGATAAATAATGACAAAATAGTTTTTTTTCAATATTGTTACCCTTTTTTGAGGAAACAAGTCCCAAGGTTAAGTTTATCATAGCATTGGAATTTCATTCTGGCAATAAGAGAACAGCCTTACAAAATTTAAAATTGAAATATATGCAATAAAAAGTGGATGAGAATGGTGGACAAAAATGGCAGCGAATTTTAAGTAAACTAGCATGGCCAAGACATTGTGAATAAAAGATGAGAGAGAACATTTGTATTAGGGTAAGTCAAGTTAGGATTTGTGGTATTGCACTTAATTTGAAAGTTGGGTGACAGAATATTTTTTAAAATTTGTTACTGTTTTTTGAGGAAACAAGTTTAACGATTAAGCTTAGGTTCAAAATTATAAAATTTATAATTTACTGAAGCTTTACAAATTTTATATATGGACAAGATGAATGGCACAAGCATATTATTACTAAATCATTTGCCATCAAATAAGATCTTCATTTACTTCAAAGGGAAATTATACTGAATAATTTAGCTATAATTGGATGTAATATGTTATGCAGTGCTGTAGTTTTAGTGGGATTTTTCAATAAACAATGCAAATTTAAAACATTTTGTCTCATAATTTGTGTCCAGCAGTATTATTGTGTTATATACACTTTTATCTATTTTTTTGTTTTTATTAATTATGATCTACCAAATCTTATTCATTGAGTTGCCTTTTTGCCTTTAATCTTTTACAATTTGTTTATAGTTTTTACTTATCGAAAACAGTAAAATTTGCATATTTTGCTAGTAGGGATTCATAATTAAAATTCTGCTTTGAATATATTTTCTATTCAATGTATTTAATCCAAAATATCAACTATATTTGGATTTGTTCTTAAAAAAGTAAAATTTTGAGGTCAGTTTGTAAGCAAAAACCTGTGGAAATGAGGTATTTCTGTACATTATTTTTCAGACGATTTTTAAAACTAAATGCTTAAAAATTAGTAAAATCTATGAATTTAATTTTTGGTGTCAGTACTTATCACATCAACACCCAGATTTCACAATGTTAAATTTCTTTAAAAAAAAAAAAAAAAATCAACCTGCCACATCAGACATATAACCACTTGTATTCAATACATACAATTGTCACATCAATGTAATCAATCCTTCTCAAAATTAGCATACCATTAGACCATTTTAATTCCTATTTCTTTTCTAGGTGTCAGTTATGCTTGGAAAATTCCAAGCTCTATCTAAGATGGATGTAAGCAATCATGACTCTCCACACATTTCTTTTCATTATTATCACTGAATTACAATATAATTCTTGGGAAAGACAGACAAGTGGTTTCCCACTGATTTCTCTGCAGTTTTTAAGGCAATAGTTTTCCTTCTACTAGACTGGTTGCCAACCAAGGATAAAGAGATCAGTCTACCCTACTATTTAATCCATAGCTGGGAGTGAGAATAGATGGATTCATATCTTCCCTAAGGGTATTTTTGTAAAAGTGAATTTTAACAAATTTGACTTACCAACTTCTAATTCCAAGCCACTAATAATTATACATCCAGCAGAAATCTACAGGGTATCCTCACCACCAGTCAAGAAAAAAAAATGTTCTCATTCTTTAAGTGACAATGCAGTATTTATTGATTTGCAAGCAAGATTAATGGTTAAAATTAAGAAATATTAATGCTTATCGACTTACAAAGATTAACTGTTTTAATAAGATATTAAATGTTTATAAATATTCAAAATGATGGCAAAGTCAATAAGTGAGTACATTTTGGGGGATAGCCTCTCTCTCTCTCCCATATATATTTTCAGTTGCATGGATATGAATTTGAAACCCTGGGTTTCATGCTTTTGCATTCATTAGACAATTGTCTGATAATCACAAAAGTGTGAAACCAAGGGTTACAAACTCATATACATACAACTGAATATTGTTATCTCTATCACAGATATTGAGCATTTTCACTAAGTACTGTGCATGTAATATATATATATATATATATATATATATATATATATATATATGTGTGTGTGTGAAAAGTAAATGAAGAGATGTAAAAAACAAATGCTGTTTATAGTTCATGCTAAAACACGGAAGACACAGAGACCAGAGTCATTCAGCATCTCAGTATTAGGAAATATATGTATTGTGTGTGTGTTTGAGAGAGAGCAAGTGAATGAGTGAGTGAGCAAGAGAGAAAAAATATACAAGAAAATTTGAAAAAACTTTTTAGTAGATTATATTTTGGTCAAAATCCAATTTTTGAAATGATATAGTTAAAGTAAAAAACATTTGGGGGTCTGTATAAATTCATTTCACACTAATCAAAGGTACTGCAATATATGGAGTAGGGGAAATACAAGAACAGTTCAAAAAGGCACAGATTTTGCATAGTAGACAAGATGGCCAAGAGATTAAGTGATAGAATTAGACAAAAAACTCACATCTTTAGGTTCTATTTGCTTTGATAAGCTCTCAATTTCCTTTAGTAACCTTTCTTTGCCCTCTTCAGCGTCATGCAGTCGACATTCTGTTTCAATTCTCATATCCTCCAGCTTTTTGCGTAATTTTTTCTTCTTTTCTATGCACCGAGTCACCTTGCCTTTTGCCGATTTGCGCACCTTTGCCAACATCTACAAGATTGAGAAAGAAGATTCATCACTAAAACTTACAAAACTGAAAAAAGATTTTATTTAAGTTTCTGAATTGGCTCTAAGATGAAGAAATGCGATTTCATTTACTTACTCCACGCAATTCTTGTCGTGAACGATCAATGGCATGTATTCTTTGCTGATGTATTGAGCGAAGGCTGGTAAAGTCTGAAAGGAATTTCCTCTTAGATTCTGGAGAGTCACCCACTTGACCATCCAGGGCTTGTTTCACCATTTCCATCTCAATTTCATAAGTGTCCTCGATTTTTGGAGACAATGGTTCATCGACTACAGAAAAGAAAAAAAAAAAAAATTAGGATGAAAATCCAACATTGACAATGAGAATAATGTGTATAAAGAAATGAACAACAGAGTTACAGATTAAAAAACTGAAATAAGGAAAGAAGACAGAAATTTAACAACACTGAAGAGATTGTAAAAGTTTATCTGATAAACAATTAAAATCATAAACGATTACAGAGGACATGATAGAAAAAGTAATACTATGGGTTTGTAAACATACAACAGGAGCCACCAACTGGACACAAAACCCCCACATTACATCTCTATTCTCATTCCTAAAGCTGGGAAAGGGCCTCTTGCAAGTTCCTATATTAATAAAAGGTGAAAATAAACTTGGACCTGGTTTCCAGTATATTTAGTTGTGTATTCACAGATTCTGTTGCATGAGTTGGATGGGTAGGTAAATAGGTGATATTTGGGACATTCTTCCATCAGCCAATGAGAAATCTGACTTTCTCCTATCAACTCACTGCCCAGTTCTACATAATAATGTATGGCTGCCAATTCTAATGGCTGCAATGGAACTACCTCGATGGTCAGCCTGACACTATTTCCATTCCATCTGTGACTTAATATAAACTTACACCTACAAGCCCTCAAAATTTGGTTTGTTGTCACTTGTTCTCAAAAGTTAATTTAATCCTTTTTGGTCAAGTGAATGGCTGCTTTTGAAGACCCCCCGCCCACTTCAGACTTTATTGCTTGTCATAAAACATGAAACACTTAAGAGCATAATAAATTTACACATCATAACCTTATATGTGAGTGTCCCAGTCATAGTATCACAGTTTACCATTCTTCCTATTCTATACCCAAATAAACCAAGAGACTCTTGGTACAATTTTTTTTTTTTTACTAAACAATAGTTGCCCTGGGTATAAACTATATCTGGTAGCAAGGTATATGATCAAGAGATTGGAGGTTTTGAGGAGCATGGAACCACTACTTAACTGCTATTGTTCCCAGGTCCACCCTAATCCGGGGTGGTAGCACCTGTTAGGGTCCCAGCTATGGGCAAATAGTGAACCCTCAAAACAAAAATTAACAATACATTTTTATAATAAAATGATCAACAATATCTTTATAGAAAAATGACAACACAAAAAAAAATATATAAAAATTATATCTTTATAGTAAAATTACTAACAATACATTTTATGAACTACAAAATATATATCGAAAAAATATGCCTTTACTCTGATAATATAAAATTATGCTTTTCTCACAAAACGATATCTGATACAAATCTAAGAAAGAAATAAAAGTGACAGAAAACTGAACAACATTGGGTAAGTAAAACATATATATCAGTGTTTCCCAACCTGGGTGGTATCACCCACCTGTGGGTGATTTCAACAGTTGGGTGGGCAACTGGAAATTATAAAGGGCATTTCAACATATGCCACATGAAAAAGTAAATATTCAAAGGTCATATACAAAGAACCTGTACTTAAATTTAAAAAAAAAAAAAAAAAAAAAAAAAAAAAACACAGGAGGCTAAATTACTTGCATTGTCACAGATTGAGGCCCAAAGATAATTTTGTTTTTATTTAGTTTTCAGCCAGTGTTTGACAATTGTTTGTCAATATTTCCCTGCTGAATAATAGGTACAAGTTTTATATTGGGGAAATACATTATTTTTATTACAATGTTAAGATTTTTGCACACAATGATTACTAAACATGCCAAGGAACACTGGATAAAGGTAACATCAATTTCACAAGCTCATAGTGCTTTATAAAGCAAATCTTATATGTGTCAAAAGTGCCAGAGAAAGTGACCTTAAAAGAAATGGTGCCTTACTTGTCTCTTCAAATTCTGCAACTGATTCATCAGAGTCTGAGGAATAATCATAAGACTTTTCTTTTCCTTTGCTCAAGCTTGTTGACGGCTCTGGTAATGCCTTTGTGTCCTTAGTAAGAGCAACAGGCTCCTTAGGGATTTTTGAAACAGCTGCTTCAGCTAATTGGTGGAGTCCATTCCGTTCAATCTCAGTGTCCTTGACTTCAGTTTTGATTTTACTCTCTATCATTCGTTGTTGAGGCAATGGGGCCAGTGAAACATTGGGGGTAAAATGCCGTTCATACCTGAAACATTTAGAGCAAAGTCAGTCACAGGGAACAAACAAATGAAATAAAGAAAGCAGGCATTTATAGAAAAGAAAAAAAAAAAAAAAAAAAAAAAACAACTTTTTTTAATTTTTGATTTTGCCCAATACAAGGCCCAAGGGCTACCCAAGGTTGAAGGTTACTGAGTAAGATTGTAAAGGAGGTTGAAATAAGAGAGTATTATGAGGAAGAGTAGGATAGATATTGGTTGACCCTGGATTTAAAGAGACCAAAATCATAGTTGTCAGGAATTTCTTACACAAAGTAACAGTTCTGGCTAAGAAGCTTTCTGAGAGGAACTTGCTTTTTATCAAAAGAACACAAAGAGAATTGGGATGGTCTGCCACTGCAAAAATGGCATGGCAGGTCCTAGCTGTGAAAGTCTGAACTAGTGGCGGTAATGTACGTTGTCTGCACATCTGCCATAGTAATAGTTAAAGGTTGGTGAGTCAAATAGCTAAAGGCTGGTGAGTTAAATAGTTAAAGGCTGGATAAGGGTTGCCATGTGGAGAATAATTCACCAGCCACATAGGCTGTATAATGTGAGGATTGGGCAGCACCAATTGGAGTTAAGAGAAAATAGACAATTTTCTTTAATTCTGAAATTAAGAATCATAAGAGAAATAAAGTTCTGCAATTTTTTCTAATACCATTTTTCTCCTCTTCTTCTTTCATCAGTCCCTTGACCCGGTGTGTAGCTGAGCACCTGACAAACACCCTCCACATGTTTTGGTCACATGCCAATGTCCTAGCATTTCAGAAGGATCTTTCAGTTAACTCAGTGACATTGTCAGCCATTTTTCTCTTCTGTCAGCCTCTTCATTTGCCTAATATATTACCTTGTGATAGCAATGGAAAAGTTGTTGGCTCTTATGACAGCTCTATACCATTTCAACTTCTTAATGGTAGTTATGAGGTCTTCTAACAGGCCAGTTTCTTGTAGAGTAATATCTTGCACTGTGTGATTTCTAGAATGGGTCTGTAGCCTCATATTTCTAAAGAATGGGTTCTTTGCTGGAGTCATGCTGATAATGTCCAAAATTCTCAGGCATACAGAAAGATGGAGAAGGCCAATGCATGCAACAGTCTGATCTTTGATTTTCGGCAGATGTTCTTCTCTTCTCAGGTTTACTTTTAGTTTTGCAACAACTGCCTTTTTTTTTTTGTGCTGCTCTTGAAATTATTTAAATTCTGGAACGTTCTTTGCTGATAATTGAACCAAAATATTTGAACTGGCTCAGTACTTTAAGTTCCTGACCACCGACTTTGGTTGAAAGCGCCATTCTCGTTGTTTGCATTTACTTTGGACAGACATACACATAGTAGAAAATAAATATAAAAATGATTAACGTAAAAGTGTTACTTGTCAGATACAAAGGAAGGCTAAAATCGTACAATTTCGTAATTCTAATCTGGTATATTTGCGGTTGCCTTGGATTGACGTTAATGTGAGGTTTGTTATATAAATCTCGGCTAGTGTGAAAAATTACTTACTGATCTCCATTTTCTTCTCTGCCCAAATGTATCTTAAGCTTAATCTATAAAGATGTTCTGCTTTCTTGTCATATTAGTCCAATTATTTATCATTTTATGCTGACTACATAAGTAGTAGAACAAGTCTGAGGTTGTAAAAGGGAATAAATCAATGTGTCCTCAATAATTTGCATAGGTGCATCAATATGTCCAGGTGTGCAATAGCTGAACATTTATTACCGTCATTAACTGTCAGTATTTTGTGTCCAATCATAAAAAATGTTTTCCGTTCTGAGTTGAGCACATTAAGTGTTCCACTTGAAAGAATGGCCAGTGCAAGGTTCTTGTGTCTCCTCCCCTGCCCTCTCTGCATCTGTGGTACGGGGCCTTCTCTTGTACTACATATCAATTTTCATAGGATAGTATTCATATAAAACGCAAATTTTATTCTAACCTAATTATGTACAATAAAGCATCATTGCAATTTTGGTGAACAATTCAACTAGAAAATGAAAATGTATCTAAATATAAATTAGAGACATGTCCTAATATTAGGTTGGTGCAAAAATGATGACGTAATAATGTCTTTTTTTGACTTTAAAAAATACGTCAAAAAACGACATTATTACGTCATTATTTTTGCACCAACCTAATAGATCATTCCATTTTCATTAAGTCAGCAATGTTTTGTGGCAATTTGTAACATTAATTTGAGATTCTTTCTTGCTAAAACGTTCACTTTTAACGCATTCAACATTATGGATTTAAAAAAAAAAAAAGTGAATTTTATATAGAGTTCTGAGATTTAGCATGAGTAAAACAAATTCACGGATTCAGATGAGAAAGAAGAAGGAAAAAAAAAAAAAAAATGTTGAAAACCATGAAAACTTTGCATCTTTTAATAGTCAGTTGTTCTTAGTTTAATTTGTAATGTATATATAAATGTAAGTAGAAAGAATGCAAATGTTGATAAGATAGCAAGGGTCACAAAGCACTGCCAGGAGCCTCCAATCAGGCTTGCAAGTTGCCGGGTTGGGGTGTAGTACGCACCGGCCCTGTTTGAAAGTACCAGAGGCAATATATATTAAGTCTTTACAGCCTTCCCTCTGCAAACAGACAAATGTTTTAATGGCTATTATAAAATTTTGCACTCCCAAGAAAATATTTAAGAAATACTTTTCACTATATTGGTTTTAATTTGATTTTTCTAAATAAAATCTTTTTTTATCATTTTTATTTATCCTATTAAAACAAGAACACTGAAGACAATATATAACAAAAAAATTAAGACCTAAATAATACAATTAACATTTTAAATGGAGTGTTTGAAAACCCCAGGTATAATGCTCTACAGTACTAAGGGAGAGTTATATCCTATATCTCTTCAGAATGTAGGCAATCAGAACTCTCCAGATTGTTTTTCTCTATTGTATCTGTGAACCACTCTTGGGAAAGATAGTGGAGTAGTTTCCCCTATTACCTTCTCTATTGTTTTATTCAAAATAGACTGGTTGTCATCCAAGGTTAGAAAGCCTAGTCTATACTGCTCTTTAAACCATAGATGGTGAGGAGTTGGCTGACTGATTTGATTTTTATGGTTTATCAACCTTTTGTGGGTTATCCAAAGCTGAAACATATTGAATTGTAAGAATAATTTTTTTTTTAGATACAAGTGATACTATTTAAGGTATTTGTGGATTAAGTGAATATAACAAAGCCAAATGGAATTCAAAACCCTCCTCTCCACATCAATTTCTCATTCCAAGCTAATATACATTACAAGCTTTGGGAGGAGGGGGATAAAATGGATTCATGCCTTTTCCAAGTGCATAGGAGCAAAAGTGAATGCAACAGAGTAAAAAAGAATTTGAACCCTGGCCCTGGATGCTGTGCTGATTTCCTTTTCTACCAATATCGATTATTGCTACCAGGATATCCAATACATATATATATATATATATATATATATATATATATATATATATATATATATATATGTATGTGTGTGTGTGGGCAAACAGCTTAAATTCTGAGAAAAGATATAATAATTAATTGAGAAAGGAACAATTTCTGTATTTAATTGGCGGCGGGGTTAAATTTGAGAAACTGATACTCACCTTGCAGATTCAGAGTGAGGAACAACACGTTCTGGGTGTAAAAGGACTGGTGGCCCAGTTTGCAAAAACGAGGGGACATTTCTTCCAGGCAAACTGTAATACAACAAACTAAACTTCAATGTCAGAGACTCAGGTAAACGAGGAATAAGTGCGACAAGTATTGACAAGATTACCTGGAAACGCTGACCTAAGCTCTTGTGAGCACCCCAGTCGACATAGGGAGGGGGCCGAGGGGGGCAAGTTATAAAGCAAAATAGATAAGAAACTAATTAAAACAGAGCCAATATCTAGGTTTCAAAAAAATGCCTTCTGATGGACATTTCACATTTTTTTTTCTCTCAAACTTATCCAAAGAAAGGTGAATATAATGAACTCAACTGGAATTCAACCTCAGCTCTCCAGTTATTCATTTTTTTACCTGCTATGAAACCACCCTCTAAGTTTTTTGATAAATTTTAAAAAGTACATATAGCAGTTATTTGCATGAAATGTGTATTTGAAAATGGACTTTGTTTGTAATTTGATGAATAAAGAGAAATGTTTAATGGCATTAGTCTCTGCAAAACAACATTACAAAAATGACAAGTAGATTTCAGAATTTTCAAAACTACAAGTAGAAAGAAGTCAAAATTTTATTATTAGTAGTATTGTTAGAATAAATGCTTCTTTAATAAATTAATAAATTTTTTTCTCACTTGATACTGAGCACTAATTACAAAACTGCTTGCCTAAAAAAACATCTTTCAGAAATACACTGGTCAGTTGTTTTCTTTTATTATTTTGTTTGTTTTTTAAAATCTTTGTTGAAAAATGAACAAGTAGTTAAATTTTTAAAAGTTTAATTTTTTATTATTTATCAAAATCGGAACTTCTTGAGTGAAATAATTCAGAGTAATATTTCAGTTTTTTTAACTTCAGAATCATTTTATTCCAAAATTTTTGATGAAGCTAAATAGAAAAACCTATCAAACTGAGAATGTTACATGTTCCTTATTCAATCATTCTATCGGATTCCATCTATATTTTCAAATATATATATATATATATATATATATATATATACACACACACACATGTGTGTGTTTGGGCAGCAGTCCCTCTTTTATGCAAGTTACATTAAAAACGACTGACAAGTTTTGTTTTTTTTATTTAATTTTTCTTGTATTCTTATAATTTTTTTCTTCTCTGGATATAAATTAGGTAGATATCATCCAAACGTTTCTGTATGTCCAAGGACTTTCGGATACACTTTTAGCCATTATCAAGGATGGTTTCATTTTTACTTTTAACTGAATGTATGGATTTTTTTTTAATGTATTTATCGAGAAAAGCATTATTAATAAAAGGAAGCATTATTAATATTAATAATAATAAAAAAGGCAACACTCAATAACATCAACTATGAACATGGCCACAACGTGTTTGCTGATCGTGTTTGGAAAATATCCCTATTAACTCTAGATATATACAGTGTTATATTTGTATGCATATTTCCCACCCTAAATACATCAACTATTATGGGACAGCATTAGTAATAATTCCATACATCTGTTGGCAAATAAGAATCACCAGTTGTAAGCATACATTATAATTAATGTTTCAGTAAATTCCCTTTAGTAACTCAACTCTCCACATGGCCCAGTTGATAAAAAAAAAAAAAAACCAACATTGGTTGAGTGATCCAAAATAGGACTTGAACCAAAGAGATGTGATTTCAATACCTGGCTACAACAGAGGGAAAAAAAAAACTTGGAGAGTTCAGTTACGAAAGAGAATTAACTGAAACAGATATCCAAAAAAGGCATGGCATGTGGAATTAGAACAATCTACCCTCATGGACTAAATAAAGGGTTAGTTTTGAAATTCCAATATATGTCACCTGAAGAAGACCAGAGCGTACAACGTCTGAAACATGAATATGGCAATAAAGATGAGGACAACAGTCTGAAGAATGTAAATATTTCTGAACTACTGATGCTTATGGTATCACTAAAAATAAGGCTTTTATTTTTAATTATTGCAGAGATTAAAATAAAAATTATACTTGAAACCCCTTATTTGAAAATTCTTTTGAAATAGTTTCTACAGGCAAAAAGGAATATGACCTTCTTTGTTATCATCTTTTATTACATGTGTCAATGGGGTAGCGGGTGCGAAAGGTGAGAATTAAAAATGATTTGATAGAACTTACCTATCTCTCATGATACTTGGGGCCATGAATTTGGTGTCCTTGAAGACGATGCTTTGGGGCCAAGAATATCCGGTGACAGGGGCTATGGTGGTGGCTGCTGAGTGATGTGGTGACCAAGGTGCCACTTGACTTGCATTCTCTTCAGTTTTGACTCGTTTGCTGGGGATCCACTCGTCGCTCACCTGCAAAATAAACACAAAGCTAATTAATCAAACTGTTCCACAGGAGATGGCTTAACAAAACAAAACAAAAAAAAACATAAAAAAAAATAATTTATCACTATTATTATTATTATTCAACTGCCCTGAAAAAAAAAACATTTCCACAATCTTTATTGGATGCAGATCAAAAACATGTACCCCAAACCATTTCTTTTTCCTTATTCTTTCAAAACTAATAAAAATCAAACAACATATTTGCCTTGAACTTTAAAGGCGGTGGAGTAATCATTTCAACCGAAGCAAGGTGGTAATACTAATAGAATTTAGAGGGTCATAGAGTGAATGTGAAAGAGAATGTAAAACTGAGAATGGAGAGAATTAAAGAAAAGACAAAAAAAAAAAAAAAAAAAAAAAAGCAACAGGATTCAAGAAGACAGAAGATTGCAGTGATCATGTAATCAAAATTGGAAGGGAGTTCCACAGGTGAGAAGTGTGAGAAAAGAAGCTGCTGGAGTAGAAGTGGCAGTTGCATCAAGCTATTTCAAAAATAATATGGTGAGACCTAATTGCCAATCTAGTAGCACACTTAAATTTATGTAATCAGGGCACCAGGAAAAAAGGTTCATTGGCAGAGTTGCCAGGAGAATATTTGTAGACACTGTTCTTATTCTGACGCCTTTATTCCTCAGTAATGTTTGTTTTAAAAAGTGATGATTAGAATTTTAATAAAACCTAAACAGAGGAAAAGTAATTTATACTTCTTTGTTCTTGCGAATTGACAACAAAAATAAACACTATTTAATTAGATTGTTTATTGGAATGATCAACAAAACATTGGCTAAATAAAACTTTATAAAATGGTAAATAAGAATTTCCTTATAATTGGTTCACATATTTTTTATAACTTATTAAATGTTTATAAATTTGTGAATAGAAAATTGTTTTCATATTTATTTCTTTATGAACCGGTAAATGATAAATAAGTATTGTGTTAGTTTTAAATTGTATTAGTTTTTAGAATGTTGTAAATAAAAAATCTAATGAATAAATAGTTTGATATTTTTATTAAAAATTCTAAAGAACAAAAATATCTATAAATTGACTTTCATCATGTTTCAGTTTTGTTTCAATTCTAATCATTGCTTTTTAAAACAAACATTGCCGAGGTAGTTAAAATAAGAGTGGTATCTACAAATATTTTCATGGCAACTGCTCTAATGAGATATCTCCCTCAACTGAAAGCTGCTTAACCAATAAACAAGTTTCCTTGTAGGGAAATGGCTAATATTATAAATATCATTGTTTGCAACAAACTACCACCATTTTCCACCTTGTTTTTCTGGAAGAAGTATACATGCCGATATAGCACTGTCTTTGACCTGTTATCCCAGCCATATTTGCAGACAAATATTCTAGAAAGTGATGGGAAATAAATGGCAAAGTATGAAAATTGATCTGGTTGATCCATTGCCACTGTTCAAAGCATAAATAATCTCATGAATCCTAAATTAGTTATTTAGATTTGAATCATAAATGAATGATGCCCGTATCATTAGAAAAAGGTTAAATCATCAATTGTTGATATCCACTGATCCACAATGAAACACCAATTGATGATGCTTGACGTTTAATGGTTAATGAATGAAAAATAAAACAAAAAAACTAAATGTGAAAAAGTAAAGACTAAATAAACTAAAAAGACTAAATAAACTAAAAAGACTAAATAAACTAAAAAGACTGAGACTGTCTCAAACTAATGAAAGCATTCTTTTTTTTTATTGTTATTACTGCAAAATTTCAGCCAATCCCTTCTACAGCCTTCTTCAGGTACAAAGAGAGAAAGAAACACCTCTTTCCTGATGGCATCAAAGAACACAAAGAAACAAAACAAACAAATTCTTGCAGTAATAAGGAATCTTTCACTAAGTCATCAAGTGAATTAGATAAAAGCTTTCAACTTGATTTTATGTCAAGAGATCAATGCATACAATGTGTTATATTTCTTTTCAATCAATTGGGTATCAAGGAAAAGAAAAAAAAACATTCAAAACTTAATAGTGTGTTCAAAATGTGTTGAGAAAGAATATTTCTATTACAACCCACCTCCCTGCCAAAAAACAAAAAAACTAAAAACAAAAATACAGATTGAAAAATGTCAGGCTTTTTTTTTTAGGGTTGTAAATATGCAAATAGGAATGCTATTTATAGATAAGCCATTTTTATCTTTTTGAAGCGATGGCAGAGAATGAATTTAAACACTGAAAAGAAAAATGAGTAGCGAGTTGAGTTGATAATCCTCCTCAAAAACCAAATTTATGCAGACAGTTAGAGAAAATAAATGGAGGAGAAATGAGCAGAAGAATAGAGGTGTAGAGAAGGAGAGAGAAAAGGCAACAAGAGCAAAAGTGGGAAGGAAAAGAGAGAGATAAAAGAAGAGAGAAGGGAGAAACAATGGGGGGAGGGAAGAGGGAGAAGGGAGAAAGAGAAGCTAGGAAGGAAGGAAGGACGGACGGGAGAAAGAGAAGCTAGGAAGGAAGGAAGGACGGACGGGAGAAAGAGAAGCTAGGAAGGAAGGAAGGAAGGACGGACGGGAGAAAGAGAAGCTAGGAAGGAAGGAAGGGAGAAAGAGAAGCTAGGAAGGAAGGAAGGAAGGACGGGAGAAAGAGAAGCTAGGAAGGAAGGAAGGAAGGACGGGAGAAAGAGAAGCTAGGAAGGAAGGACGGACGGAAGAAAGAGAAGCTAGGAAGGAAGGACGGACGGGAGAAAGAGAAGCTAGGAAGGAAGGAAGGAAGGACGGACGGACGGGAGAAAGAGAAGCTAGGAAGGAAGGAAGGACGGACGGGAGAAAGAGAAGCTAGGAAGGAAGGACGGACGGGAGAAAGAGAAGCTAGGAAGGAAGGAAGGAAGGACGGACGGGAGAAAGAGAAGCTAGGAAGGAAGGAAGGAAGGAAGGACGGACGGGAGAAAGAGAAGCTAGGAAGGAAGGAAGGACGGACTGGAGAAAGAGAAGCTAGGAAGGAAGGAAGGAAGGACGGACGGGAGAAAGAGAAGCTAGGAAGGAAGGAAGGACGGACGACGGACGGAGAAAGAGAAGCTAGGAAGGAAGGAAGGACGACGGACGGGAGAAAGAGAAGCTAGAAGGAAGGAAGGACGGACGGACGGGAGAAAGAGAAGCTAGGGAAGGAAGGAAGGACGGACGGGAGAAAGAGAAGCTAGGGAAGCACGGACGGAGAAAGAGAAGGGAAGGAAGGACGGACGGGAGAAAGAGAAGCTAGGAAGGAAGGAAGGAAGGAAGAAAGAGAAGCTAGGAAGGATGGACGAACGGGAGAAAGAGAAGCTAGGAAGGATGGACGGACGGGAGAAAGAGAAGCTAGGAAGGAAGGACGGACGGGAGAAAGAGAAGCTAGGAAGGAAGGACGGACGGGAGAAAGAGAAGCTAGGAAGGAAGGAAGGACGGACGGAGAAAGAGAAAGCTAGGAAGGAAGGACGGACGGAGAAAGAGAAGGTAGAAGGAAGGACGGACGGAGAAAGAGAAGCTAGGAAGGAAGGACGGACGGGAGAAAGAGAGAAGCTAGGAAGGAAGGAAGGAAGGACGGACGGGAGAAAGAGAAGCTAGGAAGGAAGGAAGGACGGACGGGAGAAAGAGAAGCTAGAAGGAAGGAAGGACGGACGGGAGAAAGAGAAGCTAGGAAGGAAGGAAGGGAGAAAAAGAGAAGCTAGAAGGAAGGAAGGAAGGACGGGAGAAAGAGAAGCTAGGAAGGAAGGAAGGAAGGACGGAGAAAGAGAAGCTTAGAAGGAAGGACGGACGGAAGAAAGAGAAGCTAGGGAAGGAAGGACGACGGGAGAAAGAGAAGCTAGGAAGGAAGGAAGGAAGGACGGACGGACGGAGAAAGAGAAGCTAGAAGGAAGGAAGGACGACGGAGAAAGAGAAGCGGACGGAGGAAGGAAGGAAGGACGGACGGGAGAAAGAGAAGGAAGGAAGGAAGGAAGACGAGAAGCTTGACGGGAGAAAGAGAAGCTAGAAGGAAGGAAGGACGACGGGAGAAAGAGAAGCTAGAAGGAAGGACGGGAGAAAGAGAGAAGCTAGGAAGGAAGGACGGACGGAGAAAGAAGCTAGAAGGAAGGAAGGAAGGAAGAAAGAGAAGGAAGGAAGGAAGGACGGACGGGAGAAAGAGAAGCTAGAAGGATGGACGGACGGAGAAAGAGAAGCTAGGAAGGAAGGACGACGACGGAGAAAGAGAAGCTAGGAAGGAAGGACGGACGGAGAAAGAGAAGCTTAGGAAGGAAGGAAGGACGGACGGGAGAAAGAGAAGCTAGGGAAGGAAGGAAGGACGGACGGGAGAAAGAGAAGCTAGGAAGGAAGGACGGACGGGAGAAAGAGAAGCTTAGGAAGGAAGGACGGACGAAGAAAGAGAAGCTAGAAGGAAGGAAGGAAGGACGACGGAGAAAGAGAAGCTAGGAAGGAAGGAAGGACGACGGGAGAAAAGAGAAGCTAGAAGGAAGGAAGGACGGACGGAGAAAGAGAAGCTAGGAAGGAAGGGAGAAAGAGAAGCTAGGAAGGAAGGAAGGAAGGACGGGAGAAAGAGAAGCTAGGAAGGGAAGGAAGGAAGGATGGAGAAAGAGAAGCTAGGAAGGAAGGACGGATTTGAAAGAAAGAGAAGCTAGGAAGGAAGGACGGATTTGGAGAAAGAGAAGCTAGGGAAGGAAGGAAGGAAGGACGACGGACGGGAGAAAGAGAAGCTAGGGAAGGAAGGAAGGACGGACGGGAGAAAGAGAAGCTTAGGAAGGAAGGAAGGACGGACGGGAGAAAGAGAAGCTAGGGAAGGAAGGAAGGAAGGACGGATGGAGAAAGAGAAGTTAGGGAGAAGGAAGGAAGGAAGGAAGGACGGACGGGAGAAAGAGAAGAGGAAGGAAGGAAGGACGGACTGGAGAAAAGAGAAGCTAGAAGGAAGGAAGGAAGGACGGACGGAGAAAGAGAAGCTAGGAAGGAAGGAAGGACGGACGATGGAGAAAGAGAAAGCTAGAAGGAAGGAAGGACGGACGGACGGGAGAAAGAGAAGCTAGAAGGAAGGAAGGACGGACGGGAGAAAGAGAAGCTAGGAAGGACGGACGGGAGAAAGAGAAGCTAGGAAGGAAGGACGGACGGAGAAAGAGAAGCTAGGGAAGGAAGGAAGGAAGGAAGAAAGAGAAGCTAGGGAAGGATGGACGAACGGAGAAAGAGAAGCTAGGAAGGATGGACGGACGGGAGAAAGAGAAGGATGGAAGGAAGGACGACGGGAGAAAGAGAAGCTAGGAAGGAAGGACGGACGGGAGAAAGAGAAGAAGGAAGGAAGGAAGGACGGACGGGAGAAAGAGAAGCTAGAAGGAAGGACGACGGAGAAAGAGAAGCTAGGAAGGAAGGACGGACGGGAGAAAGAGAAGCTAGGGAAGGAAGGAAGGAAGGACGGACGGGAGAAAGAGAAGCTAGGAAGGAAGGAAGGATCGACGAATGGGAGAAAGAGAAGCTAGGAAGGAAGGAAGGGCGGATGGGAGAAAGAGAAGCGGAAGGAAGGACGGACGGGAGAAAGAGAAGCTAGGAAGGAAGGACGACGGGAAAGAGAAGCTAGGAAGGAAGGAAGGACGGACGACGGGAGAAAGAGAAGCTAGAAGGAAGGAAGGACGGACGGGAGAAAGAGAAGCTAGGAAGGATGGATTTAATCGGGAGAAAGAGAAGTAGGAAGGATGGACGAACGGGAGAAAGAGAAGCTTAGGAAGGATGGACGGACGGAGAAAGAGAAGCTAGGAAGGAAGGACGGACAGAGAAAGAGAAGCTAGGAAGGAAGGAAGGAAGGAAGAAAGAGAAGCTAGGAAGGAAGGACGGACGGGAGAAAGAGAAGCTAGGAAGGAAGGAAGGAAGGACGGACGGGAGAAAGAGAAGCTAGGAAGGAAGGAAGGACGGACGGACGGGAGAAAGAGAAGCTAGGAAGGAAGGAAGGACGGACGGGAGAAAGAGAAGTTAGAAGGAAGGACGACGGGAGAAAGAGAAGCTAGAAGGAAGGACGGACGGGAGAAAGAGAAGCTAGAAGGAAGGACGGACGGGAGAAAGAGAAGCTAGGAAGGAAGGTCAGATGGGAGAAAGAGAAGCTAGGAAGGACAGAGGGAGAAAAGGAGGGTAGGAAGAACTGAAGGGAGAAAGAGAGAGACCATTAAATGTATTTGCGGAGCAAAGAAATATTCAAAATGAAACCTAACAGTGCCAAAATGTAGAGGTCAGATCAATACAAAAATAGCAGAGGGTCTATCCTCTGGCATTTGTATTGAGTAGCACTTGTTTGGCATTTTATTTTTAGTAACAGACTGTTGTTGTTGTTGTTTCCAGAACTTACAATTTTAATCTGAAATACCTTGTTAATGTCAGATTCAGAAAGAAAACTGGAAGAAAGTCTGAAAAAGTTAGTCGGGGAAAGCAAGACAAAAGGACTAACCATCAATTGTAATAGGTCAAAATGTTTGATCATGAGCATTAGAGAAAACTCAAGAAGTGAGCTATGTATTGAAGACATAAGCAAATACAGAAATCATCTGGTGTTTCAACAGACAACGGAAAATGTGACACAGAAATGCCCTCCGAAAACTAAAGAAACATTAAGAAATTTTGTTGGTAATAAACAAATGAGCACTGAACTTCTCGATCTTTTTACATGGCAGTGAATGGTGGGCAATTTCTTCACAGGTGAAGAGACTTGTGGCAACAGAAATCTGAGGAGTGTGGAAGAATCAGAAAGAGACATTTTGAAATTTGGTGATACATACAGAAAAGAGGACTTGGAGAATCTGATACTCACAGGATATGTTGAAAAGAAGAGCAGCAGACGGAAACAAGATGCCTACATGTGGAAATGGATGACAGAATCAATACTGATACGACTAGTAAGGAGAGATGTTACTGAGAGCTACATCGGATAGAAAATTGTGGAGAGCTATGATCACTCTGAAGGGAGACAGCATATAAAAGAAAGAATCTAATTAGTGTTGACAAAAGCTAAAGTAGAATAATTTCATTTAAACTGCATCACAAATTACTTGGAACACAGAACACCATTTATCATTTCCTGCAAAGAAAATACAATGATTTTATGCTGAATAAGACAATCCTTTAGTTGCCTCTTAAAAATATGCAAGTCGAAAGTAATAAATACTTGTTGTAGGTAAGTATTAGTTTTTGTTTCTTTAAAGTTTTTTTTTTTTTACCTCAAGTAAGGCAATAAAGCCACTAAGATGCAAGGGTTTACTGAGTGTGGAAGAATATAAGAAAAAGATTAAGGAGTGAGAACAACAAAAAATGGGGATTAAGAAGATGAAAGATAATGACTGAAATTGCATTTAAATTTTTGAAAATCAAAGTTCACGAAAGCAAGACACCAGAAGTGAGTTCCATAAGTGAAAAAAGAAACTGTTAGCATAGAACTTATAGTTACATCTAGCCATTTCAACTGTAAAATGATCAGACCTTTTTGCCAATCTAGTATTATGCTTAAATTCATGTCTAGTTACCTAAGAGGAAAGCTCATCAGAACAATTACCATGAAAGTATTTAAAGAAAAGATGCAAGAAAGTTCGGTTATGGCGGTGGGGAAGTGAGTGAAGTCAAGATACCAGGTCAGGACCAATGACATTACAGATTCTTTGGATTCTATTAAAAATCTCTAAGCATTTCTCAATAGAAGAAAATGGAACACAATATTGATCTCTGCTGACATGGAAAACATCAATTATGACGCATTTCGTCCTCCACTCATTGGTCATTTTTTTTTAATATACTCTAATATACAAAATAGTATAGTACACACAGAGGAGTGAATACAAAATCTTATGCAGGCAAATATCCATATATATTGAATATTTTTCAAGGCATCAAAACGCCAGCTGTCTCCCAAATGAAAGTATACACCCTTCTACCCTTCAAACCCATCCAATTCTGTATGATGACCTTTACTGATTCCATCTTGATCGTTTCAAAGCTGCTGCCGCTGCTGCTGGTGTTTTGTGCTTGCTGGTCACAGCAGAAAACAAGATTTTGAAAAAAAAAAAAACGTTTTTTTTTTTTTTCTTTAAACTTTAATCTGCTTGTCCATTCTTTGGAGTCAATGTAGAAATGAAAATTTAAAATGGCACAGTCCAATGCCAGCAATATTCAGAATTGTCTTCAGAATAACTTTTTCTTCTCAAATTCTTGTTTGCTTTTGTCTACTCCGCATGTTGTCTTGGTGTTAATGCACCCGAGATTTTGCTATTTTAACTTGTTAGGGTAGTACTGATGACATGATGAAGGGGAGCACCCACAAGAAGCTTGCAAAGTAAGACCCAGTGGCATGCGCGCATGCATGTGTATGTAAGAAAATGAGATATAAAGTGATGTGATCCTTGCATGAAGGAGATTAGGTAGTGAATTTTTAAAATATATATATATATATCATTTTTGCACACACACAGAGTTTATAAACATTTACTGGATTTGTGGAGTGGTAAATATTGGTTATTTATATCTCAATCTATAAGCATTTGGTCTGTAGAGAGGTTTTTATTTGCTTCTGTACACATTGGAGAGGGTTGATGAAATTGGAATATTCTAGGTCTCCAGTGATAGGTCGAAAATAGCAAGTATACAAATGACCAATTTGGATTAAACAGGATTATCATTCTATATAGGCTTCTTTGGACTTGTTTCCTCATACTCCTGTTTTGGTTTCTCCTGTCTTTGGCTGTGTACCATTTGGCCTTCCTTGACTATCTGTAGTGTTTTGGATTGTCATCAGACTTTTCTTATGAGAGAGAGAGCGAGTCAGCTCCTACAAGTGTCTGCATCTGTTCTTGAGATTATCTTCTTCTGACCTCTGATCTGAACCAATGAACTTCTCATGAACCCACTGACCTTTACCAACATTTCTGGCAAAATCCATCATTTAGTCTTTCCTGATTAATGGCTTGCTCAATGTATTAATATCCATACTATATGCTGATCATGTTATTTGCGCATAGTATGTGCACTGATTCTTTCAACCTTCTTATGTTCTAATATTGTTGGGTGGGTTCCACCTTTAAAGCAAATCACATAAAAGGCTTAAAACTTATCCCATAAAATGAAGACAAGAACTAAAAGGGATAATATCACATAACTTCAATATTTAATGGCAACATCTTCATTCTGTTTCATGAAGTCAAAACATAACTTCTATTTTTTGCATTGAATAAAATTGTGTAAAATTATAATTGTGAAAGTGCCTCAAATTTTTACAATTCACGCAACTAAACAAAAGTTAATCTCATATTGTCTCTATCCAGTGATCATTTTTATTAACCCTGCAAACTCAGCCTAAGATTTACTGATTCATCAAATTACATCTTACAGCAACTTTTTTTGTGATGGTGTGTGTGTATATGTTACGTGTTTTATTGATTTTATTAGTCATTTCCAGAGATGTTCATTTTTGGTCTGGAAATGTTTAAAATTCAAAATGAAATTCAGCAAGCAGTTTTTAAATAAATTAATTCTGAAGTAATTATATTTTTAATAAAGAAAGTATTTAGGATATCATTAATATTTTAATGTTAAATCTTTCATCTTATTTCTCTTATTCTTTATTTCTCATCTGCCCTGCTTACTTAACGATGCTTTATTACTAGTAGTATTAATAGGATTCAAATTTCTTAATTTTTGAATAGTATTTCTTTCATCTTATTTCTCTTGAAAATACAACAAACAGTGGAGGGCACAATGGCCAAAACACTATCAAAATATAACAACCAAGATGAACATGATGCTCCAAATAGCAAAATATATAATATTGCCTCATCTCAAAAATTAAGACAAAAATACAATAGAAACCTGAAGAAGGCCAGAAGGGTACAAATGGCCGAAATGTTTCAAGTATAACAATTAAGATGAGTGTGTTTGTTTGAATAGGAAAGCATAAATAATAACTCTTCTCAAAAACAAAATACAAAGAAAAAACAATTGACTAAACAATAACAAATAACTCATAGTTTCATTGCATAAATTAATCTAATATTAACACACAGCAACGTTTTTTTCTTTAACAGGGAGTGGAGGGAGGGATCTACATGCATGCACTGAAACATTTAGACAAGCTCATACACATGGAACCCCCTAATCTCCAAGTTGTATTAAAAGAGACAGTTATTTGGTGTGGGTGGGGGAATGATCAGTTCAACTCAGAGCGAGTGCAACAATCCAACCTGCAGAGAATCCAGTAAATGGCACCAGATGCTGCAGGGTTGGGAAAGAGTATCGGACTGACATTCACCTTTCAGAGAGAAATTAACTTCTCTCAAAGATCCTACATAATTTTTTTTTTCTT